TCCACTGCCAGATTTTCATTTATTCATTCCTGTGAACGAATGTGCAAACCACTGGGACAAGAAGATACAAACAACTATGAAATAAGCTCATCCATATGCTAAAATGCTCAAATCTATGGTTACTATTATTACTCTTTCTAAATAACTGCAAAAGTAGGGAAATTTTAGGTTTAATTTGGGTGACGAAACAAGTGGAAGAACAGCAAAGATGAGTGACCGAGCCAAGATCAGTAATTACCTTACTTTAAACAATTTGCAACTCTGTCATCTCCAAAACAAAACTCAAACTAATCACAAGAGTAACAACTGACACAGACATAGTGCATTAGATGTTTTAAATGGGGGTGTGACTACATTTTAAAGAACCATTCTAAAGCCTTACTCCAAATTTTTAAAAAATATTTTTAAGCTATATAAACCTGTGCATACAAAACTCTTAAGAGTTCCTTGGTAATTTTCCAGAGGAAATTAAAATATCATACAAGTAGTACCCCAACATCCTCTGCAAAAATACAAAATTAAAATAATCCTATCAATAGCCTTTCTTATATTATTAGAAGCATCTGCTTTTCTAATCTTGAATGTCTTTTATATTCAATGGATCATACCAAATCCATTAAACTCCTATAAAAATCGCAATTTAGGCATGCCTTTCACTGTTACTTCTTTTTTGTTTAGTCAATAGGTGTCATAATTCTAATCATATAAAAATTATGATAGTCACTAGAATCTTCTGTTGTAATATGAAGTACAAGCATCTAGTATTCAGTGGCCTGAATTGGAAACCCGTGTCATGATTACTTCAGAGGAATAAAACTTTTCAGCACTAGAATAATTTATTTTAAAACAATCTCTAACTGAAGATATCAGAAGCCAAGTGGTTTGCCCACCTTTCCTGGAATACCCTGTACCTTTTTTCTCATATAGACTGTTGATATAAAAATGATACCGTTAACCAAATGGTAATCTTTATCTTTATCAGCATCTGAAATATGTGGCCATTGGTTTGCCTTTTGTTTGATTAATGCTATTATGTGGTATACATTATCGTTTACCTAAGTCTTTTATTATGTTATTCATTGTGTTATCTGCAGGTTAAAATGTAGGATAAGTGAACTGGGGGAGGCAGTACACAAATAACTGTACATGAGGTACCTGATGAAAAGCTGAGACTTAATGAGGAGATGCTGGCGGCCTCTGGACGAAGTGTGTTAGAGGCTCTTTGCATTTAGAGTTGCCTGGCAGATCCCTGACAGAGACTCCTGAGTCCCACTGAAGACATGAATCGGACTTTGCAGATGAGACCCTACATTTTTAATAACCATCCCAAGTGATTCTAATCACATTAAAGCTTGAAAATCATTGCTCTAGGACAAGGGGCGTGAACAAGATGTCATATTTTGCAGTTGGAATGCTCAAAATATAAAACATGTTCCCAAAGAGAATGTTAATAAATGCTCAAAATTTGTCATCTTTTAGCTCTTCTGTTGGATTATCCTAGACTCTGAGTAACAGCATGTTTATTTTTCTGTGATTAACTGATTAATTGGTTGATTGTTTGACTGACTCATTTATTCATTGGACAAATTACTGGTCATCATTCATGAGTTTAGCACTATTCTAATGTGGACTTTTTCTAGTTATTGGTAAATATGAGAATTAAGAGATTTCAAAGATATCCCTCACAACGCTTGTTACTTGAAAGATGTTCAATAGTTCTTCATTGGATATTGTTGAATAAATGAGAGAATGAATGCATTCATGGATCCTTTTTGTACCATAAAAAATTACTGTGTTCCTTGACAATAAGTCAAACAACTGTTTCTTTAATTACCAACTCTTCCTAATGGAGCAGGGACATGATTAAAAACCTCAGTCCTTTCTAGTACCTACAGATTTTAACAATTTCTTAAAATAATCACTGAAAATAAACTGCTGCTTGGAAATTACAGAAAGGCATCCCAAGGTCACAGAATGGAATTTTAAAGGCCACTGTGACCCATATTTAAGACATTTGCTCCTTGCTAGAGAAAACCATGAAAACTGAATTTTCCAGTATAGAAAGTATGTGGCTACAAAGTTTTTAAAATAGCCAATAAAAATATGAATATGTGTTTTACATATATAAAGCATATAATATATATTATATATTTTATATCTATTTAAAATATATAATATATAAGTACATAAGTGTATTTACATATATATATATACATATATATGTATATATACACATTTAATAAACTTTTCAGTAGCTTGTGGCTAGCATTAAAAGAAAATAACCTAAATGTCCCTAAAATGTTTTAACTGGAAGTGATTTTACAGATTATCTGGTACAATACCCTAATTTTATATTGTGGAATATGAAGCTCAAAGAAGATAAGAAACTTGATCCAAGCTTACTCACCTAATTAGCAATCTCACTAGCACTAATCTGTGGATTTCCACTTTCCAATGTAACATTTTTTGTAGTATCACATTGGGTGCTATAAATACATGTCAGCTCTTCTAAACAATTATGAAGAACTACGAGGTTGATAACCTACAGTATGTTTAAATTTCCTTATTGTCTAACAAGTTGTAGCAAAAAGAAGTAGCCATAATTGGCCAAAAATTTAACTGATTAAATTATGTTCACCTCCAAAAGAACTCAAAATTCAAAAAATGTACTTCAGGGTTCCATGAGGAAAACACAGAGTACAGATTTAAACCCAAATAACTAAACATGTGGCCAATTAGTAAATGGGTGTGTACACTTATTGTCATGTCTTCTAGACACCAGTCTGCAGTGCCATTAGCATGAGAGGATATAGCCCGAAGACAGGAGCGTCTAAAATCACCAGTGCCTAACAGGAAGACATGCCCCTTAGCTCCACACTGCAACACCCGAACAGGTTGTAACTGTGACATTGGATCCGATCCAGTTAACAAGAATAAGATAGGAAGCTGTCCCACCATGAGGCATCTAGATAAGTGGAATCCAGGCTAAAAGGAAACGACAGTTAATGCAGCAGCAGCCATTTGTTGTGACTACAGCAAATAAGACAGATGAAATACACGAAGGAGTTCCTCACAAAAGAAAAACAGAACCAAATGACAAAAGTCCTCACTTTAATTAAACACTATACAAAATATAATCAATTCCAGACAGCCTAAAATTGTGGGAGCATTTGTTTAGAAGAGTTCTGACCACACAGCTCAGCCTTTCAAAGAGATTCTTTTAAATAGATTTAAATAGAGATTTTTCTCAGCTTTTTGAATATCATGTCCTATTAATAATTAATTCACTGAAGTTCATCTCAGGCTGCCTATTTGGTTCCCATTAATCAATCAACAAGTATGCATTATGGACCCAGGGTTTGCTTCAGAAAGGTTGAGGGCGGGGTAGGTAGCTCACACATTGAGCATCTGATTATTTTTTAAATATTCAAAATTTCTTAAATTTCCTAACTTGTCTGCAAACAGCATTAGTTAATTAATGAACAAGTACAACTGTACAATGACGACCCACCCACAAGTCAAGGTCACAGCATGTCCTTGGTCCATAGTGGGTATGCAACTAGGTCTCAATGTCCCTCCCTCCTGAGTTCTACTTATGGTACTCACTTAATTAGTAGTTTTTTTCTAAAATGTTCAATGAAAGTTAAGAAATAAGCTAAAACAACCAAACAAAAACTTTAAAGAATATACGGGAGCCAAAATGTGCTGCCTCCTCTTTGCACTATTATCTGTATAGGAATGAAAGGGTAATACAGTGTTTAAAAATGGAGTTCCGAGTTCATACTCCACTGGACTATCCTACCTTTGTGACCTTGAATAAATTATGTCTTCCCTAAATTTATTGCCCTGTAAAATGGAGCTAATGATAGTACTGTTCTCATAAGACTGTTCTGAGGATTAAATATGTGCTGCATGTGAAAGGTTGACTATAGTTGGTAGATAGTAAACATCCAATAAATATCAATTACTGATATTATTAGCATCAAAAAGGTGGTAGCAAGTTATAACTATGCTGAAATCTGAGATCCTCTGTAATGCACGCAATGAAACTTAATAAACAAGAAACCGGTGCTTATTAAATAAATTCCTGCTGAATTGACAAATTACTAGTGTCAATTATGCTCACAGAGCAGCCTTATTTTACCACTTTCTTAGCAATTAATACATGCAAAACTTCCCAGCACTAAGTATTGCCTCCTCCTAAGCAGGGAAAAGAGGAAAATGTCGTTTCGTTCTTTAGCTGGACACCAGTGCTAGGTTTTAGAGTTCCAATGTACAGTAATGTTGCCGTTTCCCCCTCCATCTATACTTTACCAAATCCACTAATTTACAGCCATGCTGAAGCTCTGGACAATAACTTCAACATAAGATTTATATCTTTAATTTCCTTTTCATGTACCAACAGCAAAGCACATACATCTGATCATCCTTGACTCTAGGACTTAGAGCATCACACAATTTCCAATTAAAAAACATTTATAAGACAGCACACTTCAGAAACAAAGCAGCTTTGCTATTCCAACCAAAATATGATGAGGCTTATGAGGCAATCTGCAGTAAGATATTTTAAAATGTGTAATAGATAGTAACTAAATAACATCTTTATGAGAACAAATATCAGCAGATTGATGAAATTCTTAACTGCAACAACAGCAGCAAACATTCAGGAAGCATTTGCTGGGCGCCAGACACACTTCTAAAACTCCGAGGTCAGTGCCATTGCTATCTCCATTTTAAAGATGAGGAAACTGAGGCACAGGCAATCTGATCCCAGTGTTCTAGATCTTATCCGGTATCCTATACAGGGATGTTGTGGTTTGTACAAATGTTACATCCTTCAAGTACACCTATATTCTAGTAAAATATTCCAAACACTAAACCAATATCTCTGCTTTGAATTTTTTTTTATAACATCTATGGGCATGGAAGAAACAAACAGAGAAACAGCACATTTTGCAAATTAAATACAGCACATAAAGAAACCAGCTAATCATTCCTACCTCAAGTCTGTCTGTCCGCATTAATTTCTGTGCAGCAGCTGCAGCAGCTGCAGGCACAGGAACCCCGGGATTCCCTGTAACCAACATGGGTGCAGTCGGCAAGATCTCTGCTGGAACCAGGCTTGGGGAAACAGGTCCCAGGTAGGGATTAAAGGCTGCTGATGCATTGGTGGCTAAGCTTGGTGCAACTGAAAACATTGGCTGAAAAATAAAGTAAAAAGCAAAATTTAATACGCACGTCTAGGTTCAAAGCTTTTATATATACATATATATATGTATATATGTATATATATATGTGTGTGTATATATATATATACATACATATGTATATATAACTCCATCCATCCACCCATTTATCCACAATCTAGTCATCTATTCTTCTTTCCCTCCCTCCCTCCTCCCATCCTCCATTTAATTCTGTTTATTCACGCTCAATTTGGGATAAGGACGTTTCTTTAAAAAGCATTCATCAAATCAATGTTTTTCTATCATATAATAGGTAACATATCATTTAAATTTTTCACTGGGATTTTGGAGTTTGGGGTCTATAACACTTGCAATTTCTTCATGAAGAATAGATCAACTATTCAATACAGAAACTTTTGGTGGCTACCTAATCTTCATCTTTGATTTAATTCTAGAAACTTATCTAAGAAATACATTTCATAATTACTGTGTCATATGAACTTGAAAGATCCGTTTAAAACTGCTAATAGGTTGCAAGTGTCCTATTATCTGGAATAAATAAGGCAGAAACTCTCGGTGGACAACTGAGTTTCACAGTCAGTGCAAACTGTGAATAAACCTCCTGGGATACGTGAAAGGTGATGATGACACCATTCCTTTTGAGCACAGAAGATAAAGTGTGCAGGTTTTTCTGGGGGAAATTATACATGTCCAACCCGCCTATCACACCCTTGTGAGTTATTTAACAACAAATTCACCTTACTAGGGAGAAGCCATTCTGAACTATGAAGTCTGAAACAACACTTCTAATGAAATGTTACATGATTGTTTAAAAGGATACATATAGAAGCACTGAAGAAAATGCTACAAGACAGAATTTCTGCCAGAAATGCTTTCATGGATATATGTGAATGGTTTCTACTTGTTGATATAAAAATCTGCTTATCAGGAAATGTATCTGTTGCTGATAGAATTAAATAATTTACCTGAAATCTACTTTGACAGTTTGCTTTTCTGGTTTTAAAAGCATAACCCAGCACAACAACTTTTCATCACATCGGTGATATATTTTCAACTTCCTAATTCAATGGAGTTTCAATTCTTGAAGTTTAATGCTTTGTGTAAGAATAATATTTGTCTCCAACACACATACACACAAAACTAATGGACAGTATGAATTCTATTCTTTAAGGTAATTTTTAACAATTTATTTTCTGTACCCAGAGTTTTAGAATAGAAGGGATGTTAGAATGTTGCTAATTCTTCCCTCTGTTAGGAACAAGAAGCTACATGATCCCAAGTACATATAGTATTCAAGAGAATTTTGGAGTAAGGTTTTATGCAATTAAGATGTATATTACAAAAGTAATTCTTATAGCTCAAAAGAAATATGTTAAAAAATATTTCCTTTATCTAGTCTGGCCCTGACTTATCCTGTATTTGTAAGAGTAGAACGGAATTCAAGTATTCCCTTTTTCTTAGGGCACTGGTACTCAACTATGGGTGATTTTGCCTCACAGGGGACATTTGGTAATGTCTAAAGACATTTTTGGTTGTCACAGCTGGGAGGTGCTACTGCATCTAATGGGTAAGAGTCCAGGGATACTGCTAAGTGTCCTACAGTACACAGGACATCCCCTCTCAACAAAGATTGATCGAGCCCCACATGTCCATGGAGCTAGGGTTGAAAATCCCTGTCCTAGGAATGCACTCTTCTCTTGACCTCACAAATTATTTTAGGACAAAGTCTTTGCAGCTAGCATATACATTCTTACTAAGAATACCATGAAAAGTAGAATATTTAATATAGAATTTGATTCACTTGGGAAAAGAAACAGTACACCACAGATCGATTCTACTGATACTTTCAAGTTAAAATAATTATGCTTCTAAAGTGTTGCTTTAAATGCCATGGTTAGCTGCCCTGCCAGGTTGATGACTCTTGCCTGATGAAGTGGCCTGAAGTATAATAATACTTCCCAGCCCCAGGACCCTCCATGCCCAAAGCAGCTGCCCTCTGACAACAGGAATGTACCCAAGCATCCCAGATATTAACAATCCATAACCTGTCAGAAACTGGGTCCCAGGGCAATCTCTGCCCACCAGTTACTGGACTTGCAGCTGATTATGCTGCTCCACTGTCTCCTGGCTGCCAAGGCTGCCGCAGAGCGGGGGGTAACTGCCCTGCGCAGTGAATGCATGTGGAACTTGGGTTTCTACTCAGAAATATTCAGGTGAAACTGATACTGTTACATATTCTCGATACATCATGTAAAATTTCTGCCAGACCCGCAGTCTGTGTATGCCACTGTACATAATCTACTGTTTAAGAAGCACAGGTCAAATGTACAAACTTATTTATAGGTAAGAAAAGTGTTCATATTTTAAGAAAATAAGACCAGTGGCCAATAAAATTCAGCTTTGTTAAATCTCATTAAAACACATACATATAAAACAGCACATGCATATTACATAAAAAAGAATGCTTACATTAGATAAAACTATGGATTTTATTAACTGGCAACAATTTTTTCTGCTGGATTTTTTCTATACACTTGTCACATGAATCGATTTTCAGAGCCAATCAATTTAGCAGAGGATGTCCAAATTTGAAGAATTTGAGGGCACTGTTCCCAAGTAAAATCTGTAGCAGCTTTTAAAAATCTGAAACATCAACTATTCAACAAACATGATCTCAAATTGTTCCTTCTCCAGATAAGGAGAGCTATTTGCTAAACAGCAAGGCAATCAATAATGATAGCTCTATGCTTTGCAACTTGATTCCAAAAGCTGCCAGGAGAAAAAGTAGAACATTCCTTCACTTCTTTTGCGTTTTTGTAAATTTGTTACAACCCTGTTTTGAAGAGCACCTTGTGGGAGGTAGGTCACTGCTGGCCCCACCAGAGTGCCCTAATCGGATTAGTAAAGTACTTGAACTGGTGCACTGCCCAGTGCTCCATTCCAAAAGCCATCCTGCAGAGCATTCGGCAAAATCACAAGGACGGATATTAATGCAATGGTATTATCAAGTGGCATCCTATTCAGTCTGCAGTATCCACAGGGGTAATATATAACTACATAATTGGTGCATTTGATACTGACTACCTCCTTGTAATAATGATTTACAGACATCTTGGTTCCCGGAAGGCATACGGAAGGTGAGCTTATTATTGTCTTTTGCCAGTGAACACCCTCAGCAGAGAAACACAAATGGCAAGTTTACTAATAATGCTGGTGCTTTTATGGGCCCATCATTTATTTGTTTTAAATGAGACATTCTGATTCCATTAAGGTAATCAGGCTTATTATAGATGAAAATGTTATTCAATTTTATATTACAACTCTAGTCAAATGTATGCAGATATGATCATTAACATAATTCCTTCTGTTTACTGTGTGCCAGGCATTGTGCTAAGTGCTTTACCTACATTACTGCACTTAATCCTCACAACAGTAGAGTATAAACTCCAGGGGGGCAAAACAATAGCAAATTGCTTTTGTTTTAAGAGAGGCGGGGAAAACCTGCTTAGTATATACTGGCTAAATCCCCAGAACTCAGAATGACGCCTGGCACACAGCAGGTACTCAATAAATACAGAGAGTGCCAAAAAATTATACAATTTTAAGAAAGGAAAAAACTATTAAAATTGTAATGCTCAATATATACCGATAACAAAAGATGAATGCAAGTCATGTGTATACATTTGTTTCGCACCCCTGGTATACAGTGAATAAGTGCTTGAGTGAGTGAGTGAATGAATGAATGAGTGAATTGTGAATGAATCACAGCCTTGGCAGGTGGGTGTTATAAGTCCCATTTTGCAGATATCGAAAGGGCTCACAGAGATCATATGCCCACAGTCACACATGCATGGAAGACCTAGGGTGTGGACACAACTGTGTCTCTTCCAGGTGGTCCAGAAACCAGCGGTTCTCAGTGCTGGCTGTCCGTGAAAATCACCTAGAGAACTTTAAACCCCAAATGCCCTGCCTCTCCCGTCTCATCAAAATCTCTGGGGAAAGTAGGCGAGAAGTATCTTATAAAAGCTCCTGGATGATTCCAATTCCACACAATACATGGCCTTCTACTTTTAAAAACAGGAATAGGTTCAGTTTTCTGATTCTACATGAGGTCTCTAAGGAGACAAGTGTTCCCTTATGACTCTCTTCTGAACATGGTTTTCCCTCCACATTGAAGGCTGCTGCCGCCCAGCTCATCCATCTAATTCCTAATCACGCTTCAAAAATCAGGACTCTGGGCTGGCTGAGTGGCGCGTTGGTTAGTTGGCTTGGGACGCCAGCTCTGAGCAGCAGACCCCGGTTCGGATCCCACATGAGGGCCAGTGACACTGCACCCTCTACAGCTAAGATGGTGAACAACAGCTCGACCTGGAGCTGAGCTGCCGTGAGTCGCCGGCGACGGCGTAGGCTGCAGTGGGGCTGGCCGGCAGCTGGCGTAGCTTTTGTGAGCTGCCGTGAGCCGCCATCCAATGGCTGGCAAGCAACTGCCTCACCTGGGAATAGTGCAATGATAATACCAACATGGGCCAGTGAAGCGACATCCTCCACAACTAGACTGAAGAACAAAAGGACAGCAACTTGTCTGTTCCCCTTCCCCCAATTCTCCCATAAAATCTTATAAAAGAATCAAGACTCTTTGGTAGACGTTTCCCCTAATTCACCCACACCTCCCATATCAGCAAGTCCTCTGCTCTCCTAGAACTCCTCATCACTTGAATTTAGTGTTGAACACCATGCGTTTCCCTGGCCAACTCTTCTTCTGGAACTAGACTGCAGGCTCTCAGAGGGCAGTCTTGGGCTCTCACTTGTTAATGTTGTATATATCCTGTAATTGGCATCTCTACAGGTCCTCTACAAACATTTGCTTAACAAATATATTAATGGATTTGCTAACTGGCTTTCTCTGCCACAGAAACTAGCAAATGCATTAAATATTTCCTAGAAATAGGTTTTTGAACATTAAAAAAGAGATTTAACATTATTTCCTCAAAATGTAATCATTAATTTCTCTAGCATGCTTGTTTAAAAAGTTTAATGTCTTTTATTTTTGTTTTGCAATTTTGATACTGAAATTTCTGAGTTACCATGTTATCATGCTGTAATGTTGCAATTATTATAGGGGCCCTAATTTATTTTAAAACACTATGTGAAACCGTGTTTATTTTACAGTGTTGGCAATTTTTAATAAAATTGAGGGAGTACATACAATAAATAATACATAACTGGTGTCTGCTGGGATTTACAAAACACAAACTTTAAGTCAGATTTGTGTAGATTTTACGTATGTGTGTGTGTGTGTATTTGTGAAGGTCAAACTTGCAGAACAGTGAAAAATAAAGTTTTGTTTTAATTAACAGCATAGTCAAGGCATATGAAATCAGGTTTCTGGTAGGCACAACCCCTATACAAGAGCTATAGTCACTGTAAACAATTACTGAATATAAACACAGAGTCAACAGCTAAAGGGAGTTGTCAACAAATTCACATTACAATGAATTTTTTTCTAGAAAGGTAGCATATGACTACAATAAAAGAAATACTGTTTTATGTTTTAAACTCTGTTTCTAGACTGATTTGCTGACTGGGCAAATTGAATAAACATTTGCTTTATTCTTAATTTCACTTTATCATTCTGTACACTTTTACTGAAATAATAAACATTTAAATAAAGAAGACACACAAAACAAATAAGTCATGGGGCTGTAACGTACAGCATAGGGAATATAGTCAATATTATCGTGATAGCGTGGTACTATGTCAGATGGCTGCTGAACTTATCATGGTGATCACTTCCTTAGGTATATAAATGTTGAATAACTATGGTGTATACCTGAAACTAATATAATACTGTATATTAGCTATATTTTAATAAAGATATTAAAAAAGAGAGAAAAAGAAAAAAAGATAGAAAGACTCACTCCTAGCCCTCCAAACAGAAAAGTATCAAAAATATGCCAGTCCCTAAGGGTCAGGGCCCATTCTCAAGCTGCTTGAGGAAGTGCAGGCTCCTTGACTGAAACGGGCAGGATGGATGAAATGCACGAAATACGATTCAGGGTGACTGACTTGGGAACATTTTACCAGAAACACTTTGGGATGAAATGGCCTTATCTGAACCACTAGTTGGATAAACTGGAAAGTAAAACACTAAAAAACAATTTAAGAATTCTAGGTGTTCCTGGAAGGGTGACAAATGATGACTTCAAAGCTTTCAGCATCCAACTGCCAACACATGCTTGGAACAGGAGGTGGGAACGAAGGAAGGCAAGGTGACAGGGGCAGCAAAGCAGCTCCCAAGACTTCAGCTAAATCCAATAACTTGGAATTTCTCTATCCCTAGGCTACTTTAAATGCATGAAATGCACAGGAAATTCAACATGAGTTATGTACCTCAAGGCAGCTAGGTGTGTTTACCTTAAAGGCAGCTGCCATCAGAAATTATGGATGGCCGAGGCTAGCCTTTGGGAGCATGGGGAGAGGCCCAGGAGGCCACTGCTAGTGGAACTCCAGAGCTCAGATACAGCACTTCACAATCACTGCTTGTGCAGAGCTTCTCGAGGGCAACGACCAGAGCCTGAAATCAACAGCATTTCTGAAAAACATCTTTCAGGGACGGACCAAAGAAACATACCAGATGCCTCCAGGTCATGAACCACAAAGCGTAATCTTTGATTAGGCTGTTGAGTAGTTTGTCGTTAGATGACCATTGCATCTGATAGTGCATGGCAAAGTAAACGTAAGTTTTTTAAACAGTGCACTTAGGAAAAAAGTCCAAAAGGTTTATTTTTTAGATTTGGATAATTAAAAATGACAGGTCTTCCATTTATCTTCAAGTTATATAGCTAGTCAGTAGCAGGGCCAGTCATATTAATTAAACTCTCTGAACCTGTAGGTCTTCATCTTTAAATTTGGGATAACATTTCCTACTTTATAGGATGGTTGTGAGGATTTATGATACAGAAAGTACTGAGTTCAGTAAATGTCTCTGTAGTATTGTATTTGTCCCCAAACTGTTAAATCCTCTGTCTGATTCTTGGCTTGGTGCATTTCATTACAACCTAATAAAGTCCCATAAAAACAGGAAACGCTCCTATAAATCCCAGCATTCCCCAAGTCAGCCCAGTGTCATGTTCCAAAAATCTTAAATTTATAGGACTCTCAAAATCTATGAGGAAGTGAGAACCCAAACTGAGTGGCACAATCGCTGTTTCCTGGTCCCAAGAGCACCCTCACAAAGCCACTGGCTGCCTTCACTAACGGTCTGTGAAAACACATCCACCTCAGCCCCCATTCTGTGCTGCAGTCTCTATCGTTGCTCTTGTGCTCTGGTTCCTGGTTCCTTTAGACACTGGGGAACGTCAACTACCATAAATCTCTGCCTATTATTCTCATGTTTGGCAAACTCCTTCCTTCCTTCATTCTTTCACTTATCAAGCAATTTTTTCTCTCTGCTACATGCCAGGCACAATATTAGATGCTTCCAAATCTGATCAGACCTTTCTAGCCCCTTGTGCCCTTCGTGTTCCCCCAACTACTGTTTGGGGACCAAGCTGGTTGCCCTTAAGAGAACTAAGATGTGTCACCCGTGTGGCTACAAGCCCTGTCACTGTTCAGACACTGCTGATACTCCTGATGTTTTGGACCTGCTCACACTACTATCTCCTTTGATGTCCTCACTACCTGGGTTGTATCCAAGTTCACGCCATCTCTTCAAACGCTATCATCTGTTCCAGTGGCCACTCTCTTTGAGTGACAAGCCTTTTCTGTATTAGTCACCTGGCTGCTCTCAGCCCTGTTATATTGCCTATTTGTAGGCCCGGCATTAAAGTTCCAGTGGGCAGCTGGTTATGACCATCTCATTTATTTCTGAGTCTCCATATCATTATCCTCCTCAAAACAGGGCTGACTACCAAAAGGATCCAAAAGTCTCAGGCAGGGTTTTGAAGGCAAAATTCCTGTATTAAAGCCTCTACAGTCATGAAAACCTCAAATGCTTTAAAACTGAATAATTAAAGTGACTTCTATACTTATTACAAAAACGTCACTCTGCATAGAGCATATTTTTAGACTATGACCTCAAGATGCCTCTAGCAGAAGGGTAATTCCACATTCAAATCTAGTCATATCAGGGAAAATTCACACAGAGCCTGAATGTGCTAATGAAAATTTATGCTTTGTCTAAGCTGAGAATTTTCCAATAAAGTCCCCAGAAAACATGGTGATTTTTCTAATGGTTTCAGAAATCTGTGATTTAGTAATTTCATAAACAACATATATTTGTTACTATTTAGTTTTTCAAAGCCATGAGCACAAATGTTTATAGTTTGTCCCAGGATTACGCATGTGATGACCCTAGAAATGGCCTTGAAAGGAAAACTCAAGGACCAACTCAGTAGAGGAATTCTCTGCCGTGACCAGTACTGTGCTCTGCAGTCTGGGAATGACACGTGCTGATTTCAGAGGTGCTCCTGGTTACTGAGAGGGCAGAGCCAGCTTTAAATATTTAAGTGGAACTAAGTATCTCCCATCAAGGAGACGCCTTATATCAACTAAAGGAGTAGCCACCCCAAAGATTTATCAGATCTTTGAAACTGTATGTGAGGACCAAGTGTCAAAAAGAATTCTTGTCCTATATTTTATGCTAGAGAGGATGATTATAACAACTTTTTTTTAAACCAAGTGAAAGTCTTTATGCTATCCCAAAAGACATGTGAAATTAGTAAATGTCACAAAGAAAAATTTAAGATATATTTTAAACTGAGCCCCCAATAATGGAAAAATATATATTAATATATATCAGGTTAAAACAAACACAGAATTACAATATTCTCACCTCAACTGTACAGTATTGATAATTGGTATCACTGCCGATCTGATATGGAGATCCCTCCCACCACGAAATGCAATCCCCCCCTCTTTTTTGGAATGATTGGTGCATTAAGTTCTAAGAGAGAATAACAATTACATTGAGTTCAGGTGTTAAAATGTATTAGGAAAAAAAAATAGTTAGAACACATGCTATAGTTAGCATATCAGAAAAATGTGTGTCTTTACATTTTCATGATACCATAATATTGCATAAAAGTTAGTGACATAAATTACTGACAGATATATTCTTATCATTGCAAATTTCTACATGCATTTAAGTCCAGAATACCATATCACAATTAATATAAACACCTTTTACAACCCCAAATTAAGATGTTAATCTCTTATATTTTTGTGAGTAAAGGTTATTAAAGTCATTTATCACATATCCGTCCCCCAAATCCAAATAAATAAATAAATAAATAAATAAGCTCAGACTCAAAAGTTATCCACATACACTGCTCAGCAAACATTAAATCTCCATGACCACCTACAATTTATAAAATTTAGCTCTTTTCTTAACGTCTCTTGGAGTTTCTGCCTCTCATTATTTCTCCTTCAGTGAAGCTTCCAAGTCTACGATATTGACTCACCACTGTCAGAATTCTCCTAGCATTTGTAACCATGAAATAATTTCAATCTATGTAAAAAGAAAAAGTTCTCCAAGAAAGAGAACTATCAGACTCTCCTCAAGGAGGGAGGAATAGCAATAATTTTCTCAAAATTAAAGATGACATATGCAAATTTTTATGATTACTATTACCATTAATGTAGCCTGAAAACGCACATTGACTATATTGATGAGTTTGATGACCGTTAAAAAAAAAAAAATCGAACTTGAAAGTCATAGGATTTAATTTGCAGGAAATTTTAGGGGAAAACATGCTTTAATGTAAATTTCCACATGATTTACGCAGAAGATGAGTAACTTTACAGTGTGAAAACTGTTTCAGGGTTTGACTGACAATTTTGGTACAAAGTACTAGGCAACGGATACTATGACCTATGTTCACTGGATCTAGTGCAATCATCACTTTAACACTGACATTGAGTCCTTGGAGCTACAAACTTAAGGAATGAGGGCAGAAAACATGCTTACCACGGGTTGTAATGGGGCACCGGGCATCATGGCATTGGCTAGTTGCATTTGCTGGGCCAACATGGCCATGTTCTTCTGCTGAATCAAGTTATTGCGCCCATTTATCTCCAACTGTGTTTTTAAGTGTGGGGGTGGATGCAGATATTTGCAGTTCTCCCTGGAGCAACGACCCTAAAAAACAAAAGTAGAAAACCTCATCTTAAAACAGAGTAAAATCAGCAAATCTTAAAAAAATAATAATGCAAACCTACCACTTGAATCTACCGTGGGTTTGTCACAGTGTAGTATCCATATGGTTTTATAATACATTTAGAATAGGTAATGAATTCACCCACATGCATTGAAAAATTAAGGTATTAAGATAGGTGAAAAGGTTTTAAAGCTTAAAGAAGTTACTTTATTCTAATATTAGCACTATTATATCAAGATCCAAGTTTAAAAATCTACAAACTGCCAGGGTAATATTAAAACATAGACTACTAAATAAAGAATACTAGGTTCCTTCCGTAATATCTTCTGGTTAAATTTAACAAAGCCAAAAGAATCATGAAATTTTACCATCTATTTTTACTTGTATTGAGTTCTAAGGAAGTAAACTTAGAGGACTCAAAGCACATTGTATCTTCAGTAAAACACCTTTACAAGTATCTCATAACAAATAAAATTAAAATTACTATTAAGCTTTAAAAACCCATGTATTAAGCAATTTACAGATGAAAAGCAGAAAATTCCCACATGTTCTCACTGTATAGAGGTTAGTAAGTATAAGGAAACATTGATGAAAAATGTAACCTTTAACCTCAAAGATAAATGTACTCTCCATTGCACAAGTACTATAAAACAGTAAGAAATAGACACAGTTACCCATTCAATAATTTACAATGTGAAATGGATAAAAAATAAGTTACAATAAAATAAGAAATGTGAATATACCTTCCTTTTAGGATGATTCTGTTCATCAAAACTATACATTAAAATCTGGAATATGCAGTACTGTGTGAGGAATTGTACCCATATTATTTCAATATATTGTCAAGTCATATTAACAGTAATGCGTCTCATCAATTACTGCCTTCATAACTTCTTTCACCAAATCTAATTAGAACTCTTTGCAAAGGTAAAAGATTTCCTTGAAGGCATCAACCACTTTCTCGAGCTTGCTTTGATTTCTCTAAGAAGAATCTATTTGCCATAATTTGATTTTATACTGTAAATTGACACAGAAAATTGATGCTTATGTTTGTGATAAAATCTGTCACAATTCTGATTTGAATCATCAACTTCTAGCTTGTTTTGGTTAAGGTTTTTAGAAGTAAGTTTCTACACAGGGCTAATATTCTAGGATACTGCCTGTTACTTTAACAAGTGTTAGGTAAGAAAGCATTGCTAATAATACTTTAAGTCAAGAGGCAATAAAGGACAGTAGTTGCTAACAAGGATCTTCCAGGACTCAAAAGCTGGGGTAGAGTCCTGGCCCTCTCACTCATCAACTGCATGAATGACATCTAAAAACTAACCTCTTTAAGCCTCAGGCTTTTCATCCATTTCAAAATTGCTATATAACCTACACCACAGATTTATTATGAAAATTAAAGAAGATAATTGATACGTCATGCCCTTGGCAATGCGTTACGTTCTCTGAGATAAAGGTCAGAAGCTGCTATTACCCTCTCCACCCCTACCCCCACCCCCCAAAAAAATGTATATACAACAAAAGAAAAACAAAATATTGGAATGAAGGTAGTAAGATTTGCATATCTATAACTTATTCCACATGAAATCACCATGTTTAAAAGCATCTGGATACAAAACAACTCGTACAAAAACAACATAAAGAGTCATAAGATAAACCCCACAGAACAACTGGCCAACATAAATAAGCTCATAGATGACACATGGTCTGATTTCAGGGATATTCAGTTGAGAGAGCCTAGAGAAAACCTTTTTCTGCACAAAGAACAACTTGGCTCTAAGAGAAATTCTGCTGCTCAATAGCTTCACATCATATTTCTTACTAAGATTGGGCTAATTTAAGTGCAGCTAAGCAGGATTATATCCATTCTGAGGATTCAGTTACTGACAGTTCACTCGGCTCAGTTTCTGTAGTTCCATAAATAGCACAGAGGTAGCCCTGGGCCTTGAACCAGGCCTTGCCACCGCTAAAGCCTGTTTTCCTCAGGACTTCATAGAAGTCCTCTGTTAACCCAAACCACCCTGTCTGTCCTACCTATGAAGACAGCCCAGATTGAACTAACGGAGGAGAGAAATTCTATGCTTCCACCATACACAGCCTGTGTCAGGGCATCTCAAAACTTTTAACAGAGGCTCAGATCTTTGGTTTTCATTTTGTATTTACTACACCTACTCAGGAAAATAGTCATTCTACTACATTTATTACATATGCTACCCTTCTGTGCCCAGCGTGATTGGACTGCATTGGAGACACACATTCAAAGGGCTATGCTTCTAAGCAACAATGAGGGTATGTTTGAAAAAGTATACAGACTACAGTACAAAGCCTCCCCCACAGAGAATCTACGGCAACAGGTTTGGGGGCCTGGGTTATTCTGATATAGCAGAAAACACTACCAAACACAATTCTGTAAAGCCACGTGAGTTTTTCACTGACATGTGTGGAAAAAATGAGAGTAGTCTCTGCAATTGATATCAGATAAACAGCTTTTTAGGAAGTTCAAAACTTATTTAATGCTGACTGTGTTGCTGAATAATTGTGGTTTGACAAATAATGAGGTCAAGAATAAGTTAGACTAAACATCATCTTCTAGAGGGTGGCCTAAAGCCCCAGGGAAAACTACACGCAGCATTCCTTCCATTGAGAGTTAAGGTAAATACGACACTGCTACATCTCCAGGTTCACCTGTCTGAATCCCAGCGCCATACCTCCATAAGCATTTGCAGAGTGAAATGAATGAACACTTCTCACTAAATGATTAAACACTAATTCTACTCTAACTCTATTCCAGAGACAATAAAGAATACAGAAAATCAAAAGTAAATCTAATACCAAACTTTGATCCTGAGTTGGACTAACCTAATGGTGCGTTGATTCAGAGACCAGTAATTTGAACACAGGATACAGCTTAGCATGATAAAAAGGATTCAAGGTAACATGTTGGCAAGTTTTACCAGGGAGGGAAGAAGATCTGTGTAGAGGCGGGCATCCCAAAAATCTACACAGTGATAGATAACACATTCTAAAAATCTAAAAGCAGAAATTCATTCAATCAGTATCTAGTGGTCACATATGCAGATTTTGGTACAGGAACTACTACTCTAAATCATCCAGAAATTTCACCTTAAATATATTAAAATGGGCTGCTAGGATCAATGCAAAAATATAAATATTAGGAAGTTTTTATTCAGTTTTGATTCCTAACTGTAGTTCCTGCTAATGCCCATATAATGGTACATTGTATCAAACACAGCTTGGTTTAAATAGCAGCTTTGTTACTTATATGCTGAGTGACCCTGTAGAAGTTAGTTAAATTCTTTGAGTGGCCAAATCTTTTTTGTAGAATAGTAACAATACCACTGATCTCATTGGTGATGGATGTATGAGGATTGAGCAAGATGGTGGTAAAACAGGCTATCAATCAGTGTTGTTTTTTCTCTCTTTCCTTAAGTTCTCAAGCTAATAACAAGCAGCAGTTGCTTAATTGAGCATCATCTCTGTTAAAAGTGCTAAAGAGAATACAAGCAGCAAAACACAGAGACAATGCATGTCAATAACCGGTAATATAAGCGTGGCCCTTAATCATGATTCTGTACTTGCCACATCTACTAATGGAAAATGCCATTCTAATACATTTCTTACAACGTTAGGTTTCCACGGTCTGCTTTTGTTGACTGCACTGAAATCTTATTTTCAGTGAGCTGTCCAGCTGACTAGCAGGCCACTCTATAACGCCTATACCATAAATACCTTAGGATCCATTCAAGGCGACTTTTCATAGGTTAACTCAACACAGGTTCCAAAGACATCATTGTATGTATATAGTGTATATTTTAAAGGCATGGGGGAAGTTAATAATATTGTTCAAGACTGAGTCCATTTTTTCTGTAATAATTTTCTACATTTATAAATTAAAAGTAACCTGTCAAAAAAAAGTAAAAAATGTTCCCCTGTAGTCTTAAAAGCCTGTATACGACCAATAATGGTCATTCAAGAGATCAATTTATCAAGCCCAGCATAGCTGAAGTTACAAATTGTCCAATTGTGAATTTAAGGACTTTTTCATTAGCCTTTGAAATTGATGCAAAGCTTGTGATTATAACAAAGGAAGAGATATGTTTAGATTAATTATTTGAGCTTCAAAATAAGTGCCTTGTTAATTCTTTGAGTACTTTGATGAAATACACTTTTAAATAATTATGCATGAACATACGAATATATATAGTACATATCCAAAAATTATGTGTACATGATGTATATAGTGAGATATAAGTTGTAGAATAAACATAAAACTGAAACCAGCAATGCCAATTTAGAAATATGAAAATTGCTATTTCAACAATCAAAAATTAAACCTCTTACATAGAAGTTGGCCAAACTTAATAAAACAAAAAAAATTAAAATTCCATTTTAAAACTGGAAAAATAATTTTCATTTTTAATTATACTTCCTCCACCTAAAATAAAAGGAATATTATGATTTATGAGGTCAACATGTAAAAAGACAACTGATTAAGCTGCCAAATGGTAATTATGTGATAGGATTATAATTACTGAATCATATTTGGGTAGATTCTGAAGACTTATAAGTCTTTTCCAACTTTCACTGGCAACACTGGTTTTCTGGTAAGAGTGTTCAAACTGCAACCATTTATTTCAATTGTTAAAACAAAACCAATATTTTCTCGGGGACAGCTCAGATATGCAAGTGTTTTTGAAGCACTTTCTGGAGATATTCATTGCTCAGATATTGGCCAGAGACTCTGGCAAAGGAATTTGGTAGCTTCCTACTAAAAATTCTTACTTTTTAATTTTTTCTTCCAGCTAAGATGATGCAAATATCTCAGAAAAATTTTGCCAATAAGGGGAAAAAAACAAAACAAAAAACATTGGCAGTCAAGAAATGTTGTCTCAGGCATTTCTAAAAATGTTTTTATGGCTCTGCCATGCGTTTTAATCAATTCTTGCATTAATTCTAA